GCCGGGCCACAGTGGTGGGGAAGTGGACTTCGTCCACAGCTGCCTGGTCCGCGTTTTCCCACTTTGCGGCCGCGGACAGCCACAGCGTCGGGCGCAGCAGCCCTCGCCCTACGAATCCGCAGCCGGCCTTTCCCCCGGCCCCTTCTCCGCCTCCTCCGCCCATTAAATAACACTGTCCAGCCGGCCACCGCCGGCCGCCCTCCTCTGGGAAGGAAAGTGGGCAGCGCCCCTGTGCCCGGAGGCCTTTTTATTCTGAAGTGTTTGGCGCAGGAGCGTTGCAAACACGGAATCCCCACGCACGTGTCCCCGGGGTTCGGCAGCGTGGCGCTGCACGGCGCCCCTGTCCGCCGTCCGCCCAGATCGGTGGACATCGCCGGGGCCAGGCACGTGGCTCCGACCACCGGACCTGGCTCTGGGCCGAGGGGCGCGGCCCCGCCGTGCCGGGAGGACAAGGACATTGGCTTACATAACCGCCCCGCGGAGGAAACAGGAAGGGCCCCGCGGGGTTGTGAGCTCACGCGCTGCCCGCGCTGACCTGCCGCCACAGCCCGCTGCCCGTCAGCGCGGGCCCGGCACCGTCCCCGGGGGAGCGAGCGCTCGTCCCCCACGGAGTGGGCGCCGGTGGCCCGAGCTCGGGCGGCTCCGGGCGCGGAGTGGTCAGAAGTGCCGCTGTGGCCACCCCGGTGGCCACCCTGTGGACAGGTCTCCTGCCCAGAGCCAGGATGGGGCCGTCCTGCAGGAGCGAGCCTCAGGGGATGGGGCGCCCCAGGGGCGCCAAGTGCTCGGGGCTGGGGAGAAGCCAGGAACCAGGGGTGCGCCCCCCCTGTGGGGTGGAGAGTGTCCGGCCTTTCCCGTCCACCTCGGGGGTGTTCCTGCTGTCCAGGGTGTGGGAACCCCTCCCCTGGCTTCTGCCTCTCAGAGAGAGCTGCCACCCCCGCCCCAGCCCCTCAGACTCGGTGGGTCCCCGGGAGAGCTGGGTGCAGGGGCCGCCTCTGTCACCCCAGAGAGACCCCTGTGAGCCCAGCGATGGCCCGGGCCCAGCCAGGTGGCCACTGGTGCGGCGGCCGCTGCCTCAGCTGAAGCCCGGCGGAGGGGAGGCCCGCCGGAGTGGAGGGGCCAGCAGATGGCCTCAGACGCGTCCAGGGCAGCACCTCAGCCTGACCACCACACTGGACCTGGCTGGACCCAGGCTGCCGGCCCCACAGGGACCCCGCAGCCGCTCCGCCTGCAGACCGGGGAGCAGGCCGGCTCCCTGTGACCCCCGCGGGCTGGCCTGTCTCTGCGGCCGTCCCCGGTGTCCTCCGGGCCTCTCACCTCCCTCTCCGTCTCGTCTCCCTCACACACGCGCCGCCCGGCCCTGGCAGGGACAGGCTGGGGCCCGCGGGGCTGGTGGTGGCCGGGGCCGGGGGTCCCAGCCCGCTGGGTGTCCCTGCCCCACGGGGGGCCTGCCTTGGGGGGGGCCTCGGGCGCCCCCTACAGGAAACTCAGTGTTTCCACTTGCAGAGAACCCTGCAGGCCCGTGGGGTACCCCGCACCCCGAGAGGCCCGGTGTCCCTCCGCCGCCCACCGACTCCCGCACGGGCTGTTTTGGAGGGCCCCGGCGCGAAGCGGCAGAGGTCGCCAACAGCTCTCTCCTCCGTGGGCGCGGTCTGCGCCCAGGGCCCGAGCCAGCCTGGCTCCCCCGCCCCGGTGCCCGTCCACAAGTGAGACGCGGACAGATGGTCTCGGCGTGTCAGTCCGAGGGAACACTGTCAGCACAGGCAGAAGACGGGTTTCCGCTGAGTCCGTGCGCGGTCATGGGACAGACTGTCCGCCCCAGCAGCTCCAAGGCCTGGTGTGAGCGTGGGCGTGGGCATGAGTGTGACCGTGAGTGTGACTGTGAGTGTGACTGTGGGTGTGCGAATGTGATTGTGAGCGTGTGACTGTGACCGTGAATGTGGGTGTAGGGGTGAGTGTGGGTGTGAGTGTGATTTGAGTGTGTGAGCGTGAGCGAGTGTGGTTGTGGGTGTGACTGTAAGCGTGATTGTGAGTGTGGTTATGAGTGTGTCAATCTGTGTGAGCGTGGCCATGAGTATGATTGTGAGTGTGGGTGAATGACGAGTGTGAGTGTGTGATTGTGGGTGTGAGTGTGATTTGAGTGTGGGTGTGGGTGTGAGTGGGTGTGGCTGTGAGTGTGACTGTGGGTGTGGGTGTGAGTATGATTGTGGGTGTGGGTGTGGGTGTGAGTGTGACCATGAGTGTGGGTGTGAGTGGGTGTGACTGTGAGTGTGGGTGTGGGTGTGAGTGTGATTTGAGTGTGAGTGTGGGTATGAGTGGGTGTGACTGTGTGACTGAGTGTGAGTGTGGGTGTGGGTGTGAGTGGGTGTGAGTGTGACTGTGGGTGTGAGTGTGATTGTAGGTGTGGGTGTGTGAACGTGAGTATGACTGTGACTGTGGGTATGGGTGTATGATTGTGGGTGTGAGTGTGAGTGTGAGTGTGTGGGTGTGGGTGTGACTGAGTGTGACTGTGGGTATGGGTGTGTGGGTGTGACTGTGGGTGTGGGTGTGTGTGACCGTGAGTGTGACTGTGGGTGTGGGTGTGACTGTGAGTGTGGGTGTGGGTGTGAGTGGGTGTGACTGCGAGTGTGACTGTGACTGTGAGTGTGACCGTGAGTGTGGGTGTGAGTGGGTGTGACTGCGAGTGTGACTG